ATGAGGGTGCTGGGGGGGGACGTGGCCCCAGGAGTGGGGCCTGGGGGTGTCAGGAGTGCCAGGACTGGGCAGGGCTCTGCTCACGGGGTGTCTCTTGGCAGGTTGGGCACGAGCCACTGCCTCCAACCGTGGGGAGAAACGTCCTGGGAAGGAAGGTCCTGTACCTGCCTGGCTTCTTCACCTATGGTGAGCAGACATCCCCCCCCCAGTGCCACATCCTGCCCAAATCTGGGGCTGGGGGCTGCCAGGTTGGCCGAGCTGAGTGCTCCCACCTCCCCTTGGGATCCTCCTGAGGCTGCAGGGAGAATCACAGGGTCATTAAGGTTGGACAAGACCTCTAAGATGAAGTCCAACCATCAACTCAACACCACCATGTCCCCAGGTGCCATGGCCACATGTTTTTTGAGCCCCTCCAGGGATGGGGAGTCCCCCACCTCCCTGGGCCAGTGCTGAACCACTGGCAGGACAGAAATTCTTCCTCATACCCAATTGAATCCTCCCCTGGGGCAACTTCAGCCAATGCCTCTCATCCTGTCCCTGGTTACCTGGGAGCAGAGACCAACCCCCACCTCACTCCTGTCATGGAGCTGTAGAGAGCCAGAAGGTCCCACCTCAGCCTCCTCCAAACTAAACCCCCCCCCAGGTCCCTCACCACTCCTCATGAGCCATGTTCCCCAGACCCCTCCCCAGCTTCATTCCCCTGCTCTGGACCCACTCCAGAAGTCACCAAACACTATGACTGGTTGCAAGGCCTGTTGGGCAGGGGGGTGGTGGCCTTGCTGCTGGTGCTGCACCCCCTGTGGCACCTTCCTCTGGGTTTGCACCAGAGCAGAGGGACCAGTAGCTTGGTTGGGGAAGGGTTTTGTGAGTGCTGGAGACAGCAAAGCACCTTTCTTCACTCCAAACCATCCCTGCAGTAACTTTTCCCCCTGCCCTGCTCATTTGTGTTGGAGATGGAGCCCTAAAGGGACAAAAATAGGAAGAAAAGGGTAGGTGATATGTTTAGAAGGAAAAAAGAAAAGGCCCATTTTTCTCTTTTGGGAGGTGGAGCAGCCTGTGAGAGGCAGGGTAATACTCTGTGACCTCAGGGGTTGCTTTCACAGCAGGTTTGCTGTGAGGAAGGGGAGCACAGAGGTCCTGACAGCCAAATTGGGCTGATCCCACCTCAGGGAGCAGTAACCATGGGGTGGGAGCACTATGAGAGCACTGCAAACCCCCCCAGGGCTGGAAACTCTCCAGTGCTGCCCTTTGGAAGATGGATTTTCCAAAGAGATTTACAGGGTTGGGTGGTGGAGATGTGCAGAACCTTCCTGGCTTCACCTGGGACAGCAGAAGGTGGGGGCAGGAGCAGTGGGGACTCACAAGTTGTGGGCTGTATTCAGGGAGAAATTGGATCTGCTGGCTTTTTTTTTGGTTGGCTGGAGACCTGAGGAAGTTTGCCTGGGGGAAGATGGTGGGACAGGAACTGACCCTGGGTTGGTGGGTTTCAGTCCAAACTGCCTTGTAGCCTTTTCAGGTGAGTCAAACCATCAAATGATGAGGAGCAACCCAAAATCCTGGAGCAATTAGATTCCAAATGAGAGAGATCTGACAGGGAGATCTTCAGGGAGCTCTGGCTGAACGTGGGAGGAGTCTGGGCTGCTCTCCACGGGTCAGCCAGTTCCTGACTGACAGCAGCCTGGTGTTTTCTCACCCAGCCAGGCACATCGTGGAGGTGGATGGGAAGAGGGGCCTCTTCCGTGGCCTCACTCCTCGCCTCATCTCAAGCACTTTATCAACCATCTCCAGGGGGAGTGTGAAGAAGGTAAGGGGCAGCTTCTCACCACACAGCAGCTTCCAGGGGGGGTGGGGAGCCAGCCAGGGCTGCACGGGGAGGAATAGAGCACCCCTCCCTCTCCTGAGGGCTTGGGATAGTGCCCCAGGACAGGAGAGCAGTGCCCATGCCCCCAGCACTGCTTTTAAAGAACAATTTTGATTTGAGCCATCACTTACCTTTTATCTTTTGTAAACAGTGTTGTGAGCCCTCTCTTCCTGTTTTATGTCCATCCTTCCTTCTCCTACCTTCCTTCTTGCTCAGTTTTCTCCTCCCACCTGGAGCACAACCACTCGTGGTTTCACCATCAGCATCAAGGGTTTGTGGGTCAGTGTCTCCAGCAGTTTTGACCAGAGGTTCCTTCACTCTTTGCTCAGGCCTTTCCACTGGAGGACATGGAGCACGTTTCTAACAAGGATGATGTGAAGACCTCCCTTAGGAAAGTGGTGAAGGAGGTGAGAAGTGGATCTTGCCTGTTGATGAGGGACCAGGGAGGTGACACTGGGGATGTGGATGTCCCCTCCTTGAAGTGTTCAAGGCCAGGTTGGATGGGGCTCTGAGCAACCTGCTCTAGTTGGGGATGTCCCAGCCTGTGGCA